TCTATTTCTCTCTCTCTCGCCAAAGGTGACCCCTGCCTGCTCTCTCAGTCATGTAGGTAATGAAGCCCCTCAGTCTCTTCTAATCCCATTAGGGGCCAGATTAAAACCTGGGAGCTGATATCTGAGAGACTGGCCAGCAGCACTGCTGGAAAAGGCCTCTGCACCTCTGCACAAGCATCAGAAACAGAGGCAGGAGGTGGGCAAGGAGCACACAACAAAATCAGGTTCCTCTGGTTCAGCTGGCCTGAGCTTTGAGAGACGGACTCTTTCAGTAATTAAGCTTAAGGAACCAAGCAGGACTTCCAAAGGCAGACGGTTCCTGGCCCCTCAGATACGAGAGCAGTCTCCAGTAGCACTGGCCCCCTTTTCTTCCCAGCGTTTATCATTTAGCTAATGAGAAAGCTACTGTAATTGGGTATAATGGCTTAATAGAGTTAAGAGTAAAATGCACTCTTTCAAAGCCCATTATTAGCCCAGCGTTCAGTGGATATCTTTTTTGTCTCTATCTTGCTTTCCTGTCATAACAGCTAATTAAAAAAAAAGAAAAAACTCTATTCATTTGCCAGTAGCAAGATCTTCGGTTTGTGGGTATGAGCATGTATGTGCCTGTGTGAGTTTCATTCATTTTCAGTCCTGCCTTGGAAGGAAAACCAGATAAAAATGTAGTTTAGGAGTTGAGAATAGGATTAAGTATAAGATTAGGGATTAGCCCTGGAAAAATCTTATTATATAGGTAGACGTATTCTTGCAGTCATGACAAAACCTTTCATCTCCAGAATTACCTTCATAATCAGGAATCAGCACCCTTACTTTAACGTGTTAACATAATGAGAATTTAGGTTTTGTACCAATTCTGTTGTCCGTTCATAACAGTGATGTCATATATAGCATTGCGCAAAAGCTGTGGATCGGCTTTCATTTGCTTAATTTCCAGTCAGGACAGCCATTAAGTACAATGTTATGCAATGTTTATGAAGAAAACATTGTATAATAATACATATAATACAGATATAATATATTATATATTAGTTTTGTGACATTTGCTTTCAGTTTTTCAGAGAAATCAGCAGGATATTTCTTCCACACCTCCAAAGTTCAGTCTTAGAAGTTGGTTGCATTTCCTTTTCCCGGTAACGACTTCCTGACAGCTGCACATCCTTTCAGACCCATACAGTTCAGTTTTCTTCTCACCGTTTAAAGATGAAGAAACACCTGTGGGTTTTTTAAGATCTGAAGCTTGGTTTTCTCTCAAAGATGAAAGCTTTTAGTGCTGTTTATCTGATGGTGACGCCAGGGTTTCATGGCGTCACCATCAGATAGAGTCCAATGGAGTCCAATTTTCTCTATATTTTTAGTTTATTTTTAAGCTTCAGTTTTGGAAACTCTTTTTTCATTTATTTTCCTTTGTACTTAGTGGCCGTTTTGACCGGAAGTTAAGTAAAGAAACAATGGTTTGCACATTATTTTAGCCTCCAGTTCAGGACCCCAGTAGGACCCCATTGCCTGATACTGTATAAATCAAACCTGTGTGAGGGTTTTTGTTTTTCAGTCATGACACTGTTAGTAAGTACTCTGGAAAAGCAACGTGATGAATTCAATCTTTTCTCTTGCGATGCTTCACGGGCTGTCTGAGGTTTCCAGTGAGAGATATCTGAGCAGCTCGGCGCACGTGGGGTTCCGATGAGTTCTCATCGAGAGATCCAGAACAGAGACCTCATTAAGCCGCCTGTTACGGCCAGAATATGTCAAGAGCAGTTCACCCTGACAGCCTCATTACCTACCGTATTCAATAATCCTCTGTCACATGAGCCACCCTTGCAGCTCCGTACAGATATGTGGGGTGACCTATTCGCCACCATATTCCATTAACATATGCAAATGACTTCAGCTCCAATCAGGAAATGTGACAAAGTGGCCCCGGTGAACGTCATTCCGCAGTGTCCCGGCTAATAGAGCGGTGCACTGGAATTTTGGCGGCGGTGGACAACATATAGTGTTTTTGTGCCCTCGAGGCAGAAGCTGGTGGTGCTCTGCTGAATCCTTAATGACGGCGTCCCCACTGTTTTGTAGACGTCTCTCATTCTTTCCACTGGGGAGATGCAGTGAAGGCAAATGCGCTTCTATGCTAGGCTTGTTTATAGGGGTGTGTTTGTGTTTGTGCTTGTTTTTGTTTTTCAGGGCTGACTCTGTTAGAAAACCAGAGGAAAAACAGGCATAATGACAAAATGGTCCTGATACTGTAAAGTGCTTTTGCGTTAAGGCCCTATTCTGAGAGGAGAGCTAATGCTTGAAATGCATCAATTTTATATACAGAAGCAGCTACAATTGTTTGCATTGCATGTCCTGCTTTTGTGCTTTTTCTCCATATACCTTCAATGTGCATGAGTCAACAAAGCATTTTGAAAGGTTAACTTATGCACGCAAAAAAAAAAAAAAACTGTTGTTCATGCATCTGGAATAGAATGAAAGTGATGTTATTTTTAGCGCGGCGCTTCATTTGCTGCCTTTTAATAAAAACTGTGGCCTCGTTTGATGATCCATTTTTCTACATTGGCAGCACAATGCAGATCATTGGTTCATGACAAAAGACTTGTGTTTTTGCGGGTTGTCAGAAATGCCGGCTGCTATTTTCAAAGCCAGGTGTGAATCTGGGAGCGACTCTGATTAATATGCACCAGTGTGCTTTGCGATCAGTCCCTCAGACGTGGCTCACGCTTTGTAAGGTTAAATTTAGCTTTAATACTAAAAGCATAGATGAATGATCAGGAGCAGAATGATAAATTCTGGTAATGGCACTGACTTACAGTCAACATAGTGGTGCTGAGCGGTGTGGGAGACGTTGCTGCTGTGGTATTGGTAGTTACTGTATATAAAATATACGGTAACACTTTATTTTAAGGTCTTTAAAGTTCTTAAGAAGAGCAGAACCGTATAATTTATCAGCAAGCTTAGAAATGTGGTATAAATGTACTTATATAATGTGCTTGTTGATTTGAGTTAAATATGAATTACTTGTCATGACTCAGTTGCAAGCGCACTTTGTGACATGTTAACGAATGTAATGATGATCTGAATTCACAGTAGTTAAACATGGCTGAAAATGCTAGTAAATGGTGGCATTTCAGTTGTAAGCACACTTGTACATGATATGTGTTCTGAATATGTTTGCATGTCCTGGCTGTCAGAGGATTTCACTGTGATTAGTAGGTCACTGTGTTTGAAAGTGTATAAGAGTATTTAAGAGCAAGTCAAATGAGCTAAAGACTGAAAAGTACCTGAAAAAGTCATTCATCAGCTTTTAACAATGTCAGTGAAACACAAGGTCACATTAGTCATTTAGTATAAAAGGGATAAAGCCGTCCAGATGATGGTGGAAGAGGAGCTTACAAATGTTTACAGATTACTTAAAATAGTGTGCAAATGATAAAATACATTTGAAAGATTTATTCATGAATTTGCAAGCTCATGACCGAAGTGGAACATACTCATACATAATTATCAATACCTGCTTAAAGATGAGCTGGAAGTAGCTTTCAAAGAAACAGCTCCATTTAAAAGATCTTTGAAGAATTGAAGACCCAGCTAAATTAGAACTTCTTCATTCTTAATATGTAATATATAATAATACACTGTCAGAAATAAAGGTACTAAACTGTCTCTGAGTCAGTGCCCCTCTTGTCTCTGGGGTGGAACCCTCAAGGGTCCATCTCAGTACCTTTAGTCAGGGAACATAACTGAACCATAATCCACTGAAATGATATTGTCTAAGCTGTACTGACTCCACACACCCCGTCTCGTCTCCAGGCCTTTATTTTACTGTTCTGTTTTGAAAACATTCGGTTATGAAAAGGTACAAATACAAAGTTTTCACCTGGAAACATTTATTAAAGGTTCACAATCAGACCTTAAAAGCACTGTAGTACTTTTGAAGGTACATTTACAGTGTTTGTACCTTGATGAATGAAAAATGTACCTGAACAGAACCTTTATTTCTATCAGTGTATGATTCTATAATATAATAATATAAATAATAATAATTGCAGGTCAAAAATTGACATTAGATCCCATTTGTTACTGTAAACTGTATTGTAACATATTGTAAAATTACAGCATTCAAGCATCCACAGTTTATGAAATGTGACCATTTACTAGCATTAATTGCCACATATTTGGTTATTGTGAATTCAGAAAAGGATCCCAGTTCAAACTCCTTGATTAAACTCTCTTAACATTTCAAATGCCAGCAACTGAGAGATTACAGTTCATTAACGTTTAACTAATTGATTAGTTGTAAATGTAAATGATTAATAAACGAATTAAGAGAAGACCTTATTAACACATCAAATAAAGGCATTTTTAAGACATTTTTAAGCTTAAAAATGATATGTTACTATTTACTTGGACATTATTACATGTTTGCTAATAGTTAAGTTTTGTGCTGCTTTGTTTTGGCAAATGTCTTTAAAGCAGATGGTGGTAGGTTTGACTGTAGGGCGAGTTTGTTGTGGGTGGTCAGTGTTTAAAAGTCGTTTGCTCTGCTTATAGTTTGAAGTGACTGTTGCTTTGCTGTGTCAAGGGCGTCTCATGGGTCTGGTTTGCATGGTCGGGGCTTTGGGTGGTGTGGGAGGTCTTTGGGAGGTGTGGGAGGGCTTTGGGGCAGGGGCATCTTTTGTTTTTGCTATTTGAAGGACTTCTCCTATGTCTGGGTTGCATGGGTAGAGTTTGGGAGAATGTGGGTGGGGTTTTGAATAAGTGGGCAGGGCGACTCCTTTTGCTATGTGAATGTCATTCTGGGGTCTTGGTTGCATGAGTGTGCTTTATATAATATGGCTGGGGTTTGGTGATGTGGGCGGGGGCACCGTTTCCTGTTTTCCCCGTGTTGCCTTCCTTTCCCTCTGTCCCTTTTCCTTCATCAAAAAAAGAGCACCTGCACTTATGCACCTCCTTTCCCACCAGAGCACTGACACACTCTCCCCTTCCATATGTCTTTTCCTACCCAGAATTCCCTATCCACCCGTTTCCTGATGGCCGTGAGATCCCGCAGGAGCAGAGCAGCTCGGGTGCCGCTATCGGGGGTGCCGTAGGGGGCGTGGTCCTGCTGGCAGGCGGCGCCGCTCTGCTCTTCTTCTTCCTGCGGCGCCGCCAGCGCACCTTCAAGGGCGACTACAGCACCAAGAAGCATGTTTTCGGCAACGGCTACAGCAAGGCTGGTGGCCTACCCGCCCACCCGCCCGCGCCCAAGAGCCTGCAGTACCCAGACGACTCGGATGACGAGAAGAAGCCGGCTCAGATCGGCGGCGGGCCCGGTGGCTTCGAGGCCGGGGAGCGAGACTTCGACGGCAACTCGGAGGACCTGAAGCGGCCCTACTTCACGGTGGACGAGGGCGAGAGCCGCGACTACAACGAACGGACTCTCTCCTTCCAGTACGAGCCCGAGGCCGAAATCACCGACGACATGGTGTCCCAGACCGACGGCTCCGTCATTTCAAAGAAAGAGTGGTACGTGTAGCGTGGCATGCACGACGACAGCGACGACGACAAAAAGAAAAAAAAAAACGAGAGAAAAGAATCAACAGATCTTACGCTCCTTCCTGCATCTGACCACACCCCTTCACAACACACCTCCATCACTAGAAAGCCCCTCCCTCCCTCCATCCGTTCGTACGTCCACTCCATCTCCCTCACTCCTTCCACCCGGCAACCCTCCGCCCCCATCCGAGCCCATCTGACCGAACATTAGAGAAAAATGCTTTGTAAAAACACGTCAACATCCTGATATACACACACGCTACTAGGTTAACCTGCTACGTCAGCGAAAAAGAGGCGTGGTCATTTGACTGATGCCAATCGCCATTGACTCTTAAAAGCCGTACAGGCTGGTTGCTTGAAAATTTTATGGTGTATTATTATTTTTTCCTTCGGTCTTCTTTTGTTTGAAGTTATTCTAAATGTATTAAATGTATAAAAAGAGACTTTGTAACTGTTTTAGGATCGGGTGTTTCTCATCTTGTGAAAGTCCTACACTGGATGTATGATACTTAATTTTTTTTTATTTGTTTTAATCTCATTACCGTTGTTTTTACATTTATGATTGCTCTTTTTTCCTTTTTAATAATATCCTAAATGGGGTGTCGGTTATCTGAAACTGTGGAGGTTAAAATATTAGAAATCCTCTTATGTAAATGGATAGTTACAAGATATGTGGTCAGTTGTTTCAGAGTGAAATTAGACAGCCGTTTCGTCTTAGAGGTTTGATCTCTGTAGTGCAGCCCACGTCTTTCTCCCCTCAGCCAATAGGGCATGGAGCCAGAGGCCAGGGTCAGTGAGTGGGTGGAGTTTAAAAGATGCAGCATCTTAGCCTGCTGTGGAATTAACCTTTCTGGGCTGAAACAGAGAGAACGGTTAGGGGGAAAAGCACACGAGTCCCTGACTAATCTCCGAAGCATGTCGATGATAGGATTGATTCTAATAGCCCATGGTGAGGTTTGCTCGGCTCGACGCTGAAAGCTGAGGGGCGTGGCTCCGGTTTTAGCCATATGCACACTGTACTCAGGCAGAACAGGCATAGACAGATGTACAGAGCCAGCCTCCTGGCTACTAAACTCCTAGCACTAATACAGACGGGGACGGGCCAGTTTATCCTTCGAACATCACTCGTCCTTCCTGTCAGCATGTGGGGCGTCATGTCCAGTATTTGCTTTAACAAAGCCAATTTCTGTTAACAGATCCAAACCTGTGTGAAAATGTCTCTTAACGGGGACTAGGCTTGTTTGTCCAATTGTTTGTGAGGTAATCGATGCTCTAGAGAAGGGAATACGCTTGACGTTGTAAATATTAAGAGTATGGCTCAGTAATATTTTGTCACATGCATATATGTCCTCGAACACACAGCAACCTGTTCAGATGCTTCGGATGGACATATTGGAGTGGAATATTGAAAATAAAGCCTTGTGAACGAGGAAAACACATCAATAACACATCGAAACATGCTCAAAACTGAAATCGAAGGGTTGAAAACTCTCCATCCATGGTGTTCTGCTTGTTCCTTTTTTTGTTTTTATTCAACATCAGAACGAGGTGAGTCCTCCTGCTCAAAAACACTGCCACCACCACAGATGGGTATGAAACCACGAGGCCGCGTGCCGCCGGATTATCTGAACCACTGTCTCTGCTGCCAGTTACTGGGGTTCACAGCGTTATTTTTGCCTGCAAGCAGAGAAATTGTTGTTTGTGGAAAGGGAGAACAAAGAGTCATCAAGCTCATCAATGGACATCAATCGACACACCTGGCAGCCTGATAAGTTACAAATATGTAAGCCTTATTTTCATATATGTATTGTTGTTTTTGTTTTTTTTTTTGGCATGTATGAGTGAGTGAGCGCGTTAATGTATTTTTTTATTTTTATTTTTTAGTTTTGGTCTTTGTTTCTCTGTTTGCATTTAGCCAGAGCTGTGGTCTTTTCTGTGATTCTGTTATGTTGGCTCTTCACAGTAAAAGGCTTGCCAGCATGATGGGGCATTGGGATTTACCGTCGGTGAATTGTCGGGCACTAGGCCCACTCCGCTAACGCAATTTTATTTCCACAGACAATAACATTTCTAACGACGTATTCATTGCTCTCCAAACCCCTCAAAAATGCGTTTGAATTTATCACTGCCTGTCAGTGAAATGCTTAACTCCCCTGCCTCTGCAAGATGAAATCTCATAGACAATCCATGGGTTCTTGTAAGATAATGGGGCCAAATGATTGCCACTCATCGTTTCCTGATGGAAAAGGGCAAATCTGTGCTAGCATTAGATTAACACCTTCGCTGTTTGGGCAAAACAAAAGAAAAACAAAACAAGCAAACAAAAAAAATGTGATGACTAACTGTTGAATTGTTTATTTGTTGTTTCTTTTTAATGAACAACTTTAGCTCAATAGTTCTACAAACATGGCAGTGCCTATGATGTACGTGAGATGTATTTTTCTTTTCTAAAGAAAGGTCTAAAAAATTGTACAGAATCTTTGCTCAGAAATGTTTGTCCTCTCCATGCTGTGTATAATAGGTTCGTTTTTACAGATGCTAAAGATCCTGGGTGAACACTCTTAAACACTTCAAAAAAAGGTTCCTGAACTAAAGTTCTTGGCTTCAAAAACTTAACACAGAAAAATTGAAATATTCTACAGGAAACCACAGGTGGTTCCGCTCCAATGGACCTTTATTTTTAAGAGAGTATTTGATCCCGCTAGTTGAAGTTGGAAGATACACACATACAGTACTGTGCAAAAGTCAGAGACCACCCATCAGTTTGTTTAATTTTCAGTCCAGGTGGCCATTCAGGACATTTTTCAGGAGATGCTTATGAGAAGATTAGATAGAAAATAATCCACTTGTATAAGGAAGAGGAAAGTCAAAGGAGTGAGAAAAGAGTTTTAGTAAAAATGGGACTCCAAACAACAATGCAGGACTTGGTAGACCACCAAAGAAAAACAGTACTTTCATCTTTGGGTGACAGAACATCAAGCTGCTGCAGATAAAAACATCCACAGGTGTTTCTGTCCATCCTTCCACTGTGAGAAGACGACTAAGTGCTGTTGGTCTGAAAGGATGTGTAGCTGTCAAGAAGCTGTTACTGAGGAAAGGAAATAGAAAAAAAGAATATTTTGCCTAACAAAGAACAACGGACTGTCCACCCCACAGGCCAGACCTCAACGTCGCTGAATGTATTTTGAATGTATTTGAGATGATAAACTTTGATCATAAGAAGCAGAAAATCCAACCAACTTCTAAGACTGAACTTTGGAGGTGTGGAAAAATCCCCTGCAGATTTCTTTGAGAAACTAAAAGCAGGTCTCTCAGAAAAAGAAAGGAAGGTGTTATAAAGGCAGAGGGGTGGAAATACTAAATACTGAAAAAGTGATTATGTTCAGTTGTTGAGGTAAATGGACACTTTGACTGGGAATTAAATGAGTGAAGGGTGGGCTCTGACTTTAGCACAGTACCTCATCTCTATGTTTACACATTCAGGCCAGTGTGGAGGGGAATCGTGTTGTTTTTGTCTTGCGGTTCACTTGTAGTGCATTTCTCAGCCCTGATGATTTCAAATGCCTCTCAAATGGAGACAGAAGAGGAAACAGAGTCACATCCACGACCCCTCCGGCTGACCTTGAGCACTTTGTTTTCACACTAGAACTGGAAAGGCTGAGGGATAATCCTGGCAGGAGATTAGGGAGACCCGCTTTTCTTTCCGTTAAATCACACACTTTTGTTCCGAAGCAGTTAATTAACAATTAAGTTGTTTCTCCCTTTCCGTCATTCGCATGGTGCTGACCCAGCTACCTACAGGGGTTCGTATTAATTACATTCCTTTCTTTTTCCCAGTTAAGCACAAGTTCCTCCAGCGCCGAGTGGTTTATAATGGGCTTTAAATGTCAGACGGGGGACACAAAATGAGTTTAATCAAGCCGTATTCACGTCCCACGTCCAGTGTTCTTTGCGGTAATCGCTCTCATGAACACGCTGGCGACGAGGCGGTTTTACGGTGACCAGTGTATACAGTTTTTTTATATATGTGTGGTTTTAAAAGGGGAAAACCATTATTATTATTATTTCCCATCCTGTAACAAGCCTCACCCTGTCATTCCAACATCTTCTAACTGCCCACTTCAAAGCTTGACATTCCATTGTAAATACGGTATGTAACATTATGACTATAGCCGGGTTTCCGTTTGGTGAGCTGAAGTAGGGACGCCTTCCCGTGTACGTTCGACTGCGAACCGATCCGAAAAACCGACCTATCAGAGACTTCGAACTGGCTGGATGTTGTATAGCTTATTGCCATAATTCTACTTTATCCTCACCTTAGATACGTTCTGATATGCCGATGGGTCCCGCATAGGGCAAAGGCACCGACGCATATCATGACTTTGTACATAACTGCAACAAAAACACAAAAGAATGATCTAGTCTACATGCAGCCGTGTGAATGTATGTTTGCTGAGGTTGATTATGAAAAAAGAAAAAAAAATATTGTTCACATGTGTTGACCCAGTGAAGTAACCTGTATTTGCTTTAAAAAAAGAAAACATTAAATGATTTCAATGGTCAATGATATTTTGTCCCAGTTTTCTGACTGAGTGCCTTGGGAAGTTTCTCGATAACCTCAGCGTCTTTCAGAAGTTTCCTTTTTCTGAAGAAGTGTTTTATTTACAGGTTCCTTTTGGACATACGTGTAGATATTGATCCATGTTAGATTCCCCATCTCTTTACAGTCTTATTTTACTTTAGCTAAGCAAACGCCGACACTAAAAGTGGGCGAGACTGGATTTTTATGTCTGAAGTCAAGTGGTCATAATAAATGAAAAGAAAAACACAATCACCAAACGTTTGTTACTCTTTTACTGAAGCACCTTTCTGCCTTTCGGCACCGCAGTTCTAAACAATCTTCACCTCATGAGAAATGCTAGAACCCTGTCCATCTGCGTTCGGCTCGTGTTTGTTCACCACAGTGGTGGTCTCTGGAAACAGAAAGCCAATTACTTAATCTGCATGAGAAAGACTGACGAGTGGGAAAAGACTGTGTTTTGGCAACATAAGGTGATTTAAATAATGCCCATGTACTGTTTTGAGGGGCTTTCCTACCGACTCCTCCCCCACCTCCCCCCCCGGGAACTTAAAGTCTTCAATGTCAAGGCACTAATGACTGCTTTCTCAGTGTTTGCCTCAACATGTGTTTGCCTTGAACAGAACTTCAGTCAATGGGCAGAAACACTATCATACTAATAGGTAAAGATAGATTTGCAACACAGTTATTATGTCTGTTTACAAAAAAGAGTCTTTTTTTCTGTCTAGAAGGTACAGGAGGGTTATTCCACGACGACTCACCCAGGGTCTGGCAGGTAATGCTGTGGAGTTCCATGAAAAACCCTATTTTTTTTTCTTTTTTTTGTCTATTTCTATTAAATGCTATTGTTAGGCAAACGTTTGAACGCCCTCAGTCAAATTACATGTTTTGATTTTCTAGTTGAAAATAATTACTATTTATTATGTCCTCTACAGGGATCATGTGTAATTTTTCAGCTAATTTTTTGTGCACAGTTTTATTTATTTGTATTTAACATGATGGGCAAA